GCAAAGTCGGTCTTGTCCTTCTCCAATGATGGTTTTCTCTTCGACCGACTCCGGCTCGACTTTGATCTTGGTTTCCGGCTGATCGGCTTTGCGTTCTGACTTCAGAGTCTTTCCACAATGGAGGCATTTCTCCACTGCAAGAGGAACGGCAATGAGATCAGAAATGGGGCCTTCTTTGATTCGCCCTCATGAAATATTGCTGGACGAAGTAGGCTTCCTTTGTTACCCAGGCTAGTAGGAATCGTAGCCAAGTGTGACGTTGAAGAGGTGCCGTTCACTGACCTGAAACGATGCTCCTGTGGTACTAGTCCTATTCCAAGGGTGGAAGGTAGTTGTCGGGCTAGCCGATGTAGTGTTTCTTCTCCGATTGCCATTGTCTGGCATCCCGTGTCAATGGTGGCACATTGACATCCGTCATCCTGTTGGGCCCTCGAGAACTTGGATGGAAGGTGTCTCTCTTCCCTGGTCCTGCGGTGGTCATCGGGCTTATAATGATTTTTGGTTGCTCTCCCGTGCAAAAAAAAATCACTAGGAGTCCACAAAATTTCATCCCCACAAAAATCCTCAAACCCGTCTTCCCCGATATCCACTCCAATCGCTGCGCATTGGACCTTATATCGGGAGTTGGATTGGTTTGATCCTCCAGCTACACTGTGGGAGCTGGAAACCACTTCAAAAATTCCGAATTTCGGCTCACGAGCAGGCTCAGCTGGGCTCGTCCCGGTCGAAGTCACAGCCACCGACGGAGGTATCGGTGAGGTTGTCCCCACGTCCTTCTCTACGTCGGAAGCCAATGGCCATGCTTCTTCCTCATAGATCTCCTCGAAGTGACGATATTGCTCCCCATAGATCTCCTGATCGTCCTGGTCGATCGGGTCAACCATTTGAAAGAACTTCTCATCGTTGAAGCCCTTCATGTCATCTGCAGGATTCAAGGTCTCCAAGTGGCCGCAGAAGTAGGCCTCCTCCGTCTCGTTGCTGGGCACCTTCTCCATATAGTAATTCTCCTTCATAGTGGATTTGCCTCGTCCCTTTCTGTCAGGACATTCTCGATGCCAGTGACCAACCTTTTTGCAGGTTACACATTGGCTGTTCTCTTTGAGCTGATCAATCAGCTTCCCTTTTCCTTGTTTCCTTTGTCTTTTCCTGTACCTTTCCAGCCACCGAATCCTCGGGCCAGTTCTTTTGCTTTCTTCAACTTCAGGCTCTGGCTGAATGTCCTCTTTTGATACATGGTGTTCAGGACTTCGCAAACTTCATGTTCATCGAGAAGTTCATCTTCGGTGGCTCTGTACCTTCTTCACCGTCCTCATCGTCGTTCAACTCTTCCAGGACGGCCTCCAGAATCTCGTTCTCATCGGTGTAGTCCGTGTGGTCATCGACGTTGATGTGGTGCACTGGTGTAGTCGATGATGTCCGGTTGAAGTCTTGCCCTTGTTCTTGTTCATGTCAACTCCAACCTCTTTGGCCATGAGCTTTGTCTCATGCTTGTGAACCCATTCTTTCACATCCTTAGTGGCATTGCTACCCCGATTGAAGTTCATCATGTTGAGGTTCAAGGCATTGATGAGCAGGAATCCGTTGTAGGCATCGGGCAAAACCACCTGATGTGTTAAGAACTCTCGATGTCCTTCTTGTCGATCTCTCCTGAGGTGGTAGGTGACCTTGGCCAAGGAACTCAACAGGTCTTCTTCCTTGTCGTCCCCGAAATTTTCGGGCTGGTCCATGGCGGCAAGCAGGCGGTGTCCACCTTGTTCATCTTGCAGCCATTCCAGGTTCTTGGCCCAATGCTTGAACGTGTGGCGTGCTACCCCCTGAAGTCCTTGAAGGATCATGGGACCCTGCGCTGTCTTCCGGACTTTGGTGGTTGCTAACCACAATTTGGCCTTGATCAGCCAATCTTGAAAGGCGTCGCGTCGCCGTCCCACTCTGAGGCTTGGAAGTGGATCCACCCCCTTTCCAATCCTCATCATCACCACGTCCTCGGCCTCGATCTCGGTCTCGATCTCGGCGTCGACGATTCCTCAAAAACTCTCTAAACTCATCACTGTCGAAGTCATCAGACATGCCAGCTCCAGCTGGCGACGCATCACGGCCTCGCACTCGAGACCTGGTTGAACCACCTCCAGCATGCTCACCTTCAGCAGCTTCGCTTCCATCACTTCTGGGCACCGGCTGGGTGCTTCCATCTGCCATTGCACTACGGGCACTACCTGGAGCTTAGTGCTCCGCTACCACTATGGATAGCATCTACAGGATCGCGCTCTTTTCGATCCGACCTAGTGCAGGGTCCCGCCCAGCTTGAGACGGCGTCCAAGATACATTTCTCGATTTGTGCGTGTTTTGACCAAATGGGAGTTCGATGCCCGATTCACAGTAGTATATATGTAGAGATTTTTTTTGTGAGTTTAATTGGAGTGGATGTTGGCTGCAGCGCCGGTATGTCTCGGACTTGGAGATGATAATTCGCACCACAACTTTCAATGTGCACGGCAATGCCGGGCGTCCGGCAAATGTTCTAAGTTATGTATACAGTTGAGGCTGATTTACAATGACAAACTGTTTTAGAACATAGTTTGAAGAACTTGTTTGATAATGCCGGTATGTACATATATTATATATATATATGCATAGAGTGGACTGGACCAAAAATCTTGTAAACAGTGCCCAGCCTCCATCTGAGGTTCAAAAACGTTCTAAGTTATGGAGAGTGCATGGAGTATGCTTGATGAATTTTTTGTTTATGTTTGACGGAATTTTTGGCGCGTCCTGCGCAAAGATGCTTGTACAGTGCGCAGTTGACACATATCGGGCTTGCAGGTACATGTTTTGGTGTCGATATGTGTATATACACATAGAAATATATAGTTGTGTTATAGGGGATGGAATTTCCTCTACAGAATCGCGGGGGTTGGGACCCCGATAAGACGATTTGTTTATCCAATTTTCCTTGGCTCATATGGAGGCTTGAATGTCCTGTCCTTCAAGATCCTCGATTGTATATATAGAGAATGGCAGTTTTTTAACAAACTCGATTCTATAGAGGTTTTCAAGTATAGTGCAGTGATTCTTGGTGCCTCAGGCATACGGACTCTATAGAGAATTCTTAGCATGATTTTGCATGTTAGGAACTGCAATTCTATAGAGATTGATGGTTTTTCAATGCTTCCAGTTCAAAACTCGCCTGATTCCGAGAGTACGCAATTGGGATTGCTCAAAAGAACCCTGCGGAATGGGTTCTTGGATGATCTTGGATGAGTCAGGATGATTCTAACAAATTTGGAGCATCCAAGCAAGTGACCGCTTAGGAATACATGAAACACTATAAAATCTGGACACAACATCTGGACACTATAAAATCACAGATCCTTACCTCTCCATAACACCTTCTATTTTCTCTATAGATTCCTGGCAAATCAATGCCTTCCAAGAAAGTTGCATTTTCATGTTTTCTTGAGAACCCTGTACCTTGATTCTATAGAGAACCAGGTTCTTACTCCTATTGAAACACACCTGTTCGGGAGTACCTTGGGACCTGCATTTTTATAGACCAAAATCCTCAATATTCACAATTTTCCACAGCTTTTGACAGACTCATGGCCCTCAATTCTATAGAGCTGAATCTTTGTTTTTGGACTCTTTTCCTGTGTTATCCTCAATTTTTTATAGGGTCAAAAAGTGACCCTCATTGGAGGGGGGTTGGTCCCAGCATTTTAGCACTATAAAATCGCTACCCCCGGGGTACCCACTTAATTCCAACCCCTATGTTGTGGTTTTTGTTTGAACACAAACAAACTTAATAAACAAATAATTAAACACACACACATATATATTATATATATATAGTGATTTCTGCAACGCCGGTTGACGTGGATGCATGTGTCTTTAGGTGCTGGGAGCTTGGGGGTGCAGGAAAAACACAGTTTGGGACCTGGGAGGAACTTCCCTTGGGCCGGTGGAGTGATCGGATCAGAAGTTCAGAGTTCAAGCGCAACTTGCAGTGTAATATATAACATAGAACACGCACCATGAACGTACCAACCTGATGATGTATACAAACGCGTTGTATGTATATATATATATATATAACAAGGAAATCAATAGGAACTTCAACGGACATTAAAAGGGAAATCAATGGGAGTCAAAAGGGGTTTATAGATGGATACAAAAAGTAAATCAGTAGCAATCAAAAGGGTTTGAAATTGAATTCAATAAGAATCAAAGCGACTTCAAACGGACGTCAATAGGAATCATGTGGGGAGAAAAAGGATATCAATAGGAATCAAAAGGAGTTCAAGACGAAATCAATAGGAACCAACAAAAATCAAACGGAAGTCAATAGGAATCCAACGGATTTTAAAGGACATCGATAGGATTCAATAGGAACCTAAGTTTTGTATACTGCGTGAGGCCTTGGGAGAAACATGTACTTAGAACATCACAGCTATCCACTTAGAACATTAGGGACAATTTGGCTGTGATGTTCTAAGAGCATGTTCTAAGTTACTAATGCTCTAAGTTTGAGTGTTCTAAAGAGTGGTTTCTCTGAGGTTCTAAAATAGCGGTTTTTGAAAAACAATGTTCTAAGTGTCGTTGCGTCACTATAAACTGATCCCTCAAAAATGTACAACTTCCAGGGCATTGACACAGAACGTGATTGTGTACAAAAACCTATATGCTTGCAACCAGCTGATGCATATGATGCAATGGTGCGAGGCATATCAAGACATAGACTGTTGAGAGGACCCACTTGTGTGCCCTTCATGAACCTGGTGATGCAAGTGATACAATAATCAGAGATATGGGAACTCATAGATGACAAGTGAAAACCATGCGTTCTCAATGTTTCTTCTACCCCCACTTCTCTCCCAGACACACTTCATGGTGCAGGATATGCATTTCCTTCCAAACGCTAAAGCCAAACAAACGTGACCCAACACAATCATGCCCCTCGAGACCTTCGGTGCGGCCGGGATTGTCTTTTCATGGCTTTGTTCAAGGAGGCCGAGGACGTGAAACAAAGGCTGAAGGAGTGTGAGAACATGTGTGCGCAGTCCTAGACAGTTGGACCCAACGTGGTGGAAAGCTCTCCTGCAAAGGTGTCCTTGTGTCTTAGTCGCTTCATGCTCATCAAGACTAGATTCGACATGTCTGGACTATCTTGGAATGTGATATCAAGCAATGTGCCAGAGAGAATTTGACAGTGGATTTCTTTGGATTGGTCCGCTCATTGCGGATTCGCTGTTTGAAGTGAAGCTAGTAGACTTGGATGAGCGAAGTACCAACAGCTAGTGGGGCTAAGATCTAAGGTGAAGCTTTTCGCAACAGGCCAGGCTCCCGGCACGACAGGACGATGGATGAATTCTTGTGACAGCAATGCTTCCACAGCATGCTCTTTCACAGAGTAGCTTCACAATTCTTTCAAGTGACGTGCTGTGGCCTTCTGCGCGAATGATTCTCGCCAGCCCTTCGGGGACTGATGGTGTCATGATGGAGGCGAGGGCCGGCAATCATGACTTCGGCTGTCTTCCTGTGTTTTCACCAGATGCATTGAATTCTCAGATTCAATCCAGGTACTGACGCTCCGTGCTGAAGCCAGTCGACTGGTGGAACAGCAGGAGGAGCTGCAACGCCAGGTGCAGCCCATCAGGACCTCTTCTGTGCAGATGAATTCAGACCAGGAAGCTGCACTTATTCTTTTTGGAATGATCCGATTTATTGTTCGTTTGCATGTAAATGTGCAATGATTGCTTGTCAAGAGTCTGATATGTCAACAAACATATACTTATGATAGTCAACTGACTCCAGTATACCGAAGACCTTTTACCTTCTTTTACCTTGGTCCCAGTCACGTCTTCCCCGCATATTTTCGCGCCAGCACACTCTCAGCGGACAGCGCTTGCGCAGCGATCTGGATGCCTTGAAGAACGTCATGAAAGACGAGGTGTGCATGGTGCCGACAAATGCCTTCAGAGAGCTTCTAAAGCTAAGGGAATCTGTTGACATGACCACATTTCAGACCTGAAGCACTATATCACTATATCTCATCATATAACTAATTGAATGGATTTGACCTTTTGTACCTGACATTACTGCAGCGCCGCGACGCTTTGCAGGGCTTGGATTTGTTTGGGTCTTGGTGATACGCGCCATTAACACTTGCCGGAGCGGAGGAAAGAGCAACTGTATGACTGTATGAAAAAAAACAACGCAGACACTCAAAGCCTCAACAGCTGAAACAACGTGAAAGTTGGTGTTGCTGAATCCAGAAAACTATGCAAGGACTGATTTGCACCTTGTTGACTTGTCTTAGGTCAAGCTTCAAGGACGCCAGGGGGCTGAGTCAGGCTTCGGAGGCTAACTTGGCCAGCCATGACGCACTAGTGGCAAAGGTGTTTCTCTCGCACGAACTCGGGCTTGACAGCAGATGCACACGTGGAATGCCTGATATCCAATTGAACCCAAGAACGAGAGTCCATTGAGATGACGGCTGGATTTCGATCGGTCAATAGGTTGGCTGACTCGCCTCAGGAGATGGATGGTGGGATAGGCTTGGGCCAGGGACTTTTTGGACCACAAGTGCGGCCTAGAAGTTGCAAGTTTGCAAGACAAGACCACATTGGAATCAATTCAGAACCAAAGGAGCATTAGATGCTTGCATTGGCTTTGATCACCTCTTTGTAGTGCAGATACCTTGTCCTTCAGTATTCGTGGTGGAAGCGAATTCTGCAGCTTTGCAGTTCAGGTTTATTGAATTCATTTTGGTGTAGTCTTTAACATGCGAATGAAACGTCTACTTAGTGGGTATCTAAGAGCATTCAAAAGCGCTCCGCCTGAGTACCTGAAACCCTGCCCAGACGTGGAGCATCTTCGGGAAAGCCTCCAGAAGTGCGAGGTTTGCTGTTTCAGTAGCTGTGTGTAGCTTTTGCGTCTTTCGACAAGCGGTGTGCATCCAGACTTTTTGGCCAGGAGGCTTTAGAGGCGGAGAAGAGAGCAAAGGAACACTCTCAGGAGTCTCTACACCAGTGCAAAGAGGCACGATGGAAATGGGTTGACAAGACAGGTCCGGTGTCACCTGTCAGGTGATACGCGTCACGGATACCGATGCCAACGTTTCGAGCTCGGCACAGGTAGCTGCTCGGTTGATGGCAGAGCGGGACACCACGCAGGGCCAGCTCGAGGTGGGAAAGTGAGAGGCATAAGAGACATCATTCAGGTACTATTTCAATCTCTGGATGAAGCTGCGGGTTCAGTAGCTGTAGCTTTTCGGTAGTGAAGGTTGCAAACAAGTCAAGCTTGCCCGAACACACCCTTGCGCTGTCACTGCAATTTGACCAGCAAGCATGAATGAAGCGTGGCAGTGTTCCCAGCAAGGCAGGACACAAGACAACTTGAACCATTCCCTATACAGTACAGTTGCTCCAATTGTTTCGACCCAACATTGTCCTGGCCCAGACCACAAATGCGTTCAAATCCCTTCTTTTGATGATTTCAGCACATTTGTGTCTTCAGATCTTCCAGGAGCTCACCCATCTCGCTGGCGCCTTCAAGAAACAAGCAGAGGGAGAAATCTCCGAACACCGGTTCAGTGCTTGGAGACAGAACAGCAAGCATTTGCATATTTGGTGGCCATTATGGCTAATTAGTAGGTTGGAGGCCATTGCTAGTGGGTTGAAGGCCATCGCTATACTAGAGTCGACCTCATCGCTACGAGGGTGGACGCCATCGCTAATAGGTTGGTGGGTTATTTTTCACGAACCGATTCTTGGCGAGGTGGTTCCGCCTGGTGACACAGCTCACGCGTCAGGGTGACTTGGAGGCTTCCCAGAGCCTCAAGGTGCGGCGCGGTCTTCGACTGCATTTGGTTTGTTCACATCAATCCCTTTATAGACAACAGGCTTGACGACTTTACCTTTCACTCCTTTGAATGATTCCACAGGGATTGCGTTAGCGGGATTTGTAAGTGTTGAGATAGAGACCCGACACAGGGTTTGGTTTTGAGGCATTCTCATATAGATGGGTCAATTCAGTCTGTTTTTTTTTTAATGCAATATCGTTAGAGCTCTCCAAAACAAGGACACTTAAACTCGCTTTTGATAGAGGAGAGCTGGTGCCATGGCTTCCGGAAGTGGCAGGTGCCATGAGACAGACAGTTGCTGGGTTTTGGAGATGCATTGCCAGCTGAACTGCATGTGCCCATCTTTCGCTGTTGGAGACTTGAGATATTTTCAGATAATGCTGTCCTTTTGTTTGAAGGGCAGCGCTTTATTTTTCTGATGCCTGTGCCAGTCCTTTGCTGATACCTTAGCAGAGAAGATCAACCACCGCCCGACGGCAGTATTTGCTCAGGACACAGGGCCAAGAGCTGCACAATACGTCATGAATCATGAGTTGATCATCAAATCAACACCTCAGATTCATTGGCTGTCAAGTCCACAGTCCTGCTGTTGGCTGGCCAAGTGAAAGCCAATGCACCTTTGACTGCAGTGAATGAGGGAGCTTGAGACATGCTGGTGGACAAAGTCAACCTTGGAATATATCCCTCTAAGCTCAACTTTTCCAGGTTGTGTCGGGGAGAAAAGAGAGGCACTTTGTGGCACTTGCGCTTCCTCGCCAAAGGAGATTGCCACCAGTTGTTCAAAGGGCGTCGGTCCCCAAGCTTGCGGGAGAGGGTGGTGGGCGGTGGCGGCGCTTAGAGCACCAGGTTAAACCTGGTCCATTGTTGTGTTGGTGCCACCTTTGTTTTTGGGGCGGTCCTCCAATGTCCTAATTCGGCTTCAGACAAGTAGGAACCACCAGCTCTCTTCATGCGTGATCTTCCTTGAATTTCTTGAGCTGTCAACTTCGCGGAAGGATGAGTTGAGACAAGTAATGCTGCTGGAATCACAATCAGCTGCAGCATGACATGGCGTCCAGTGAAATATGGTATGGTATGTGTTTGAACCACAATGAAATGAGTCATGGCTCATATGGTTCCTTGCAATTTGACAAAAGCAGTACCTGTGAGATCCTGAGCAAGTTGAGGACAAAGCGCTGCAAGCCCTTGAGGAGAAGTGGCTGAGCCAGGCAAGCAGCAGCATGCCAAATGCCACTTATAGCGCTTGGCAGGGTTAGCAGCAGCAACTGCAAGTACGCGCTTTTATCCTCTCGTCCTCCACAGGGTTTACTCAGACTGGTGTTTGACTGGAGAGAGTCGTGATGAATGACCAGAAGATATTCGATGATATTCGATTGATCTGAATCTGGCTTTGATCCAACGTGTTTGTGTGATGTTTCTTGCCTCTACCATCAAATCATGTTTTGCTCACTTGTTGCGTCCTCCAGCATCCACCACTGGTTGCTTGGGAAGAACCAACTGCCCAGTCAGCACTAGCAGCCACTAGCAGCAAATCAAAGGGCCATGAACCCAAGATTGGGGAGTCTCCGGAAGCAGGAAATCCCATCTACCAGTGTCTCGGGTTGTAAGCTTATTTGCTCTGCCGCTTGCTTTTGATGTGACTTGTCAGGGTAAGCAGCTGAGCTCCTTTGCCGAACTTGCTATGACAAAGCTCCAGCAAGCGGAAGAGAGCTGGGAGGCCAGAAGCCATGTCAGCGTCCATACTGATGATTTGTTTGTTTCTCCCCAAACAGCTTTGCTGTGAGGGGGGTTCTCAATTCTTGCATAGAAACGATGCTGGGCCAAGATGATTCCCGCCCTTGTCTCCCATGGCATGTCTGGATGCTGGGCTGAGATGACTTTGCTTTGTCTCCCTTTGTCTCCCCTTGTCTCCCATGGCGTGTCTGGATGCTGGGCTGAGATGACTTTGCTTTCTCTCCTTTTGTCTCCCCTTGTCTCCCATGGCGTGCTGGGATGCTGGG